TTTCAAATGCGACTGTGGCTTTTTTTCCCAAAAACTGTCTTCAAGATAAGGGTGCGTCTTATATTCCGAAAAATACGGTAATTTAAAGTCCCTGACGAGAGGCGCTTTTAGTCAAATAAGCCTAACCAAACAGACTCTTAAAAAGAAAGATAATTTAGGTTTGAAACAACATTTTTTTAAACCAGAAAGTAGTGAGGAAAGCATTAGTAAAGTTTTTTAGGTTGTAATACAATAATTTCTCGAGGAATTGATTAACCCTACCGTTGCCGCCTCTCTTCTGAATCGTTGTAGTTTGTAGAGTAAAAACATAAAATGTGATTCAAACTTGTTGTGTACACTTTTTCTAAAAACGTGATTACCTTCTGTTGTGAGGTTTAACATAAATACAAGTCATTTTTTATATACTATTTTACAAATATATTAATAATTCTCCATTTTTCAAATGGACATGATATGCATTCTCTTGCATTTAATTTTTTAACGGTCTCTCATTTCGTTTCTCACTATTCAATTCGAATATTTTATCTTTAATACTTTCCTTTTGACATATTCAAGATAAAGTCATTAAAATAGATAAACGTTTTTATTTCTTCGAAGATAAATGAGTTACCCAGAAAACATTCCAACCAGGACTGGAGATAATCTCCGTGTTCACCCCCAGTAGATCACACGACTGAGGTACAGAATTCCGAGGACTCACTGCCACTCCATAGCATCGCCAGTCGTTGAGACAAGCTGCAGCACAACCAATAGCAGTGGATTGGACAGTGATCAGTGTAGTGGATGTTAACCCTCGCATGTCTTTAGTTGTCTTGAGATACATTTTATTTCGAATTTCTCTGCCAGAAGTAATAAGAAACCAGAAAACCATGACCTGCAAGGTCAGAAATGCACTAGTCACCAACATATTTGCTGATATCAAACAGGGATCACAACCAATGTGTTCCGTATTAAACAAACTTCAATTCTGAATTGTCTCGTGAGAGTAGAAATCTGGTTAGAGTGAATAATAATTATCGCAGAGTCATTTAGAATAATTTATTATCGATTATCTTCCGTTTCGTGTGGAAGAAGAATAAATACGTATAACAACTTGCAGTAAAACAGTGTTTAATTGGACAAGTTAAAATTGCTCGAGTTTTTGTCTAAAAAAAAATTACAGCTCCAATTTCTTTTGTTATTTTAATTTTTATTGTTATTATTTTAATGATATACAACAGCTAACGTTTTGATAAATGTTGACGTTAACATGACGTCTAAATAAGAATAGCTTATTTATATTTAACTGCGATGTGTGTATACTAAATGTTTTTTTCATCTTTTATCGTCGATAACGCATTGTAAAACGTAAGTAATAACGCAAAAACGTTTAGGCTTAAATTTGGGATTCAAGTTAAAACTTATATAAAATGTTTTGAATGTAAGTCATGAATATTTGTTATGTAAAAACAGATACACAACTTATTCATTTGTAATTTTATATTT